TGGATGTGTTTTGGCGCATTTAACTGAGCACACACCTCACAAAAAATATATATCTTCTTATTTTAAATGCAATCTTACATGAGAAAAAACAGGGAATAAAAATAGAATAGAAAAAAGGTACAGTATACTTATAGAGCTTTTTAATGTAGCAGAATGCTCCAAATTCAGCTCAAAATAAAAAAGCTCAAAAAAGTAAACTCCAGTAATGAAAATTAAACATTTGTGATGCTTTCTGCTACTATAATACGTGTGCGGAAGCCCTCTTACACCTAAAATCTGTGTTGTCATCATGTGCTCCTTGCTGGGATCCCTGGAACTTGATTTCATAACAGTAACCTGTTAGTTGTTGCCAAGAAAGGCGTTGTTTTAGAGGTATATTCGTTCCATGGTATTTTAAGCGAGGTAACGGTTTCCAATGAATTTTTTTACGTTTCCAGATCAGAACTGTTATCAACCATCGGTGTATATAAGGGGTTGGTTCCAGAGAGGCAACATTGCTTCAGATCCTCAGAGGAACCTTCTGGACTTTCTTGAAGAGGTAACATGCATGTTTTTATTTATTAATTTTTTTAAGGGTTTATCATACTACAGTCATCAGTTTAGATGAGAAATTATTTAAATTAGCTGCTATGTGTAGTTCTTCTCTTAAGCATCATGATGATGCAACAGAATGTTTTCTACATGCAGGTTAATCTATTGGTAGTCATTCTAAATTTATTAATGCACTCTCTTTCTCCCATCAGAAGTGACTTACTGCCAAGAGTAAAAATGGTGAACTATAAAGTCACTGTGTATAACTCTGAAAGATTTAAGGCCTACACTAGGGAATATATATACATCACGTTGGTGGGGGAAAAAGGACCAAGCAAAACAACATGGCTCTTTGGAGCAAAATCCTTCTTAGGAATGGTAGTATACATTTTTTATCCCAATTTGTATCTTTTTGTTAAAACCATTTACGTTATTTGTTCTGTATCATATTTTCAATTGTCATTTTTTTAGGAGTTAAAAGTTACCATAACCACAGAGGAATCTCTTGGAAAACTGCAGCAAGTAGTGGTTCAGAAGGAGAAGGGGCGTTTGTTTTATTTTAATGACAATTGGTTACCAACAAAAATAGCAGTCGACACTGACACAAATGAAACCTACATCTTCCCCCTGTACACCTGGATTGCTGACAATGAGAAACACTACTTCAGAGAGGGTCAAGGTTTGTGCAATTACAGTGAGAGTTTATCTGAACTTAAGGCCTAAATTTGCATCTTTCACCTTAACTCTAAATTCTTGCTATGTTTGCTTTAGCTTTTATACCCTCAAAGGACCCTTTCGACTCATCCAGTCGACAGGAAGAGCTTGATAATCGGCAAGAAGCATATCGGTGAGTGATGAGAGTTGGTATAGAAATTACATTTATGACAACAAATCTTTTTCACTTTTGGATTACGGTTGAATAGCTATACAACTGATCCAGTCAGTTTGTATTTGAAAAGCAATATGTAACCTTGTTAAAACTACCTTACTGTAAAACAATAAACTGAACAACAAACAAAACACCAAAGGTAAAAACTATTTACTTTAACACATTTTCAGCTGGAAGATATCTGAAAAAAGAATACCTCATCATATCAAAGCAGACCTGCCTTTAGACGCCCAGTTCATATTCCTCAAGACAACCGGTTTTAAAATTTCGGTAGCTATGGGGTTAGTCCTTATATTCTAAATGTTAATGATCATTAAACTTTTCTCTGTGACTTTCATTTTGGTAACAGTGTTTCTTCTAATTTTATAGCAAGATATGGAAAGCATGGAAGGAACCCTGGTTTTTTTTTAGTGATAATAAATGGTCTGGTTTTGATCAGATCGGTGGGATGATGGATTACAGCCAAAACACAATTTTGGGTATGTTTTATTATGATTGGGGATATATATATATATATATATA